ACGCTTTTGTGATCGCGGGTGTATAGCCGCGGCGATGTACGCCCCGTTAACCTGGCTGAAGAAAATTCTCGCCCCGATCGAGCGCATGAATGACTCTTCCACTTTCCTACATCTGCAGTAAAAAAAAAAAAAGGGTCGCGGCCTACAGCCTAAGCAAACCATTGAGCCGACTAAAAAAATTAGATGGTCGCGAGTCTATAGCTCTGGAGACATACATCCCTCTATAGCCGGGTCGGAGGCTACAGCTTCGGTGACATAGAACACTATTGAGTCGACTAAAAAAAATTCAATGGTCGCGATTCTATATTTTTAGGGACATACACCACTCTATAGTTGGCTAAAGCAGATTTAATGGTCGGGGGCCTATAGCTTTGGTGACATAAAACGGGATGAGGACGATTCGTCACATGCGCACTCGTCACAGGACGATTGGTTACAGGACGATTCGTCACATAGGAACATTCGTCATAGGATGACTCGTCACGCGGGCAACTGGTCACATCGAGTGCGCAGGGGACGATAGTAAAATGTAAATTTCCACAAATGCCCACATTCCGTGATGACGAGTTTCACAACTTCCCACTCTGACATAAACCAATGGTTAGAAAAGCAAATCTTACAATACTCGACATAGAAAAGTTTTTGGCACTCAACCGCTTTTCTTTTCATCATGTGATGAGTCTTCAACAGGTTCATCTCAGTTGGGTCCCCCGCGTGCCTTTGTTGGCTTGAACGAGCAATTATCCGACTGGCAGCCAAATCAGTTGTTGCTTTTTCCTTGCATATACCTCTTCTGTGGCAAATTCAATAACAAGTATCATTATTTTTTCTGCTGCATGTGTACGAGAACTCCTCGTGAAAGAAAGTGCAAAGCTCCATTTCTATCTGTTCCGATCAACCCCATCCTTTCAAATGCAGTTCGAGTTTTAAAAAAAAAAAGTACACATTCACCGTTGGGGGCGGAATCAGAAGCTAAAACGTTTGCTACAAATTCTTCACTCGTGAGAAGCGAACGACATGCTAAGATAAGAGATGACCCATTTTGTCCGGCCGAACCAACATTCACTGTTCGGGACCGAGCCAGACGCTAAAACGTTTGTTACAAAGTCTTTGTCATTGAGAAGCGAAAGACATGCTAAGTTAAGATGAGAATGCAATCATTGCAAAGGTGCAAGCGAGCTGGAAAAGAATGACGATAATAATCTTCTTCTCCACGGGTTATTACCATTTAACATAAGAGGTGACCCCCTTTGTAAACGGAACCAAACAGAGCAATATATTTTCTTGGGCACGAACTATTGTGAAACCAGTTGCCCGTGTGACGGGTCATCCTATGGCGAATGTTCCTGTGTGACGAATCGTCCTGTGACCAATCGTCCTGTGACGAGTGCGCATGTGACGAATGGACCGTATCCCACATAAAACACTATAGAGATGGCTAAAGAAAGTTCGATGGTCGCGGGTCTATAGATTTAGGGACATACACCACTCTATAGCCGGCTAAAGAACATTGAAAGGTCAGAGGCCTATAGCTTTGGTGACATAAAACGCTATAGAGTGGGCTAAAGAAAATTCAATGGTCGCGATTCTATAGATTTAGGGACATACATCTCTCTATAGCCGGCTAAAGCGCATTCAATAGTCGCGAATCTATAGCATCAAGGACATACATATTTCTATAGCTAGCTAAAGAATATTGAATAGTCGCGAGTCTATAGCTGCGTAGTCATAAATTATTCTATAGCCAGGTATAGAAACCGGAATGGTCGAGATTCTAAAGCTTTGAAGACATACATTTTCCTATAGGTGGCTATAGCTTGTTTTATGGTTTCTTATGGCTGACCATAGAGCGTCATAGAAGGTGATAGCTCACCATAGAATTTTCCATAGACGTCCATAGACCATTTATGTATGGGTTGTGCCTTAGGTGGTGCCCGTTGGTGCTCTTGGCAAATGCTGCACGCCCTTGCCTTGGCTTCGATGTCTTTATCCACTCCAGGCCACCAAACGTAACCTCGGGCAGCTTCCTTCATTGTCACTATGCCTCGGCGTCGAGCGTGAAGCAAGCCGAGTATTTGAGCTCTCGCTGTACTGGGAATCACCACTCTTATACCTCAGGTCAAGCAACCGTTGAGCGTCTAAAGTTCGTTGGCGATACTTTTGTAGGCCCTGCACTCGTCTTTGTTTAGCTCTCCTGGTCTGCCGTATTATATGGCCTGGTAGACGAGTGTTAGAACTTTATCTTGTTCTGTGAGCGCTGCAATGCGTTCTGGATAGAGTTGTGGAATTGGCGAGCAGGCTAACATTAGCACATCGCCAGGTGGGCAGGGCTCGTCGACACGAGCAGGTAGAGGCAGCCTGCTCAAAGCGTCTGCGTTTTGGTGTGTCCGTCCCCGTCGGTATCTCAACTCGTAGTCCTATGCTTCATGCAACATCGTGCACCAGGACGACATGAAGTCGTGAGCTGCTTGCTGTCTCCGCTTAGTAAAATTTTCCAAAAACCGGAGTTTGCATCGAGTTTTGAGAAGTACTTTGCATTCTGAAGGAGTCCTAAGGTGTGTTCGACGGACGGTATAGGGTGACATTCTCTGAGTACGTAGCGATTGAGTTCTGTGAAATTAACGCATATTCTCACTGCACCGCTTGGCTTTGGAACAACTACCATCGGCACACACCAAGGAGTTGGCTCTTCGACGGGTGATATTACTCCCATTCTCTCCATTCTTTGAAGCTGTTCTTTCGTCTTTTCGTAAAGCGGGATCGGCACTCGCCGTGGAGAACTTAGTGCGAACGGTTTGGCGCCGTCTTGGAGTTGCACGTGGTATGCTTCAGCGAGCTTGCCGAGCCCTTTGAAGAGCGCAGGGAACTCTGTTCTTGCGTCGAATTTAGATCCGTCAAGAATATGGGAGCTTGGACTGATCTCGTTGACCACCGATACCAATTGCAAAGCTTGTATAGCAGGCTTTATTTGTAATGGCGCACGGAGGTCTTCCAAGATGTAAACGACTTGCACCGAAGTGCTGTCTCTGTATGCGATGTTGAGGCGAGCTGGCCCCTGTGTTGCCAAAAGGGTTCCGTCCGGTCCGTGAAGCTGACGAGGTGGTGCTACCAGGCGCGGTCGTGGGGAGAGCTTCCGGAGGATGGAGGGCGAGATAGATGACTGTTTCGTCGGCGCCCGTGTCCAATTTAAACTTTACGGTTTACCTCTGAAGCGTCACCGTCACTTCCCACCTGTCAGCTTGAGGATGTGCCACTCCTCCAATAAAGCCAACCTCGTCATCCTCGTCTTGAGATGGTCCAACGAAGCGGACTTTCTTGGAAAGGCAGACTCCGGAGAAATGACCTTTCTTATGGCAACTCTTACAAGTCTCGTGTCGAGCTGGACAGGACTTTCTGGGATGGCGTGCTCGTCCACACCAAGGATATTCCTGGCTGTTCGTCTTGGACGAACCAGACTATTTGTGTTCTAGTCTGCCTGGTGATTTGGCGCTAGACCAGGGAAGCGGCTAGTGGACGTTCTCCTTGTGTCAAGCTTGTTGACACTGCTGCCGGCTTTGATGTCTTGGTTCAGCTCGACTTGCTGCTTAGGGACGTTTTCAACTTGCCTCGCTGACTCTAGGGCCTTTTGAAGTGTTCAGTCGGCGTCGAGCTGGAGTTCTGCGGAGAGCTTTTTGTCACGGATGCCAATGACTAGCCGATCTCGTACGAACTGATCTTGCATTGGGCCGTAGTCGCAGTACTTGGACAAGGCGTGCAGTGACGTGGCAAACTATTCGATGGACTCGACTTCTGGTTGGACCCGGGAGTTGAATCGAGCTCGCTCAAAGATGACGTTCCTTCGCGGTATGAAATACGCGTCGAAGTGGCCCATGGTGGTATCGAACTTCTTGGCTTCAGCTTCGGTTAGCTGGAACGTGCTGAAGATGTCCTCGGCTTGGTCCCCCATAATGTAAAGGAGACCGTCGATTTGGTGTTCTTCGGGCTTTGTGCTGAGTGCCGGACTAGTGTGGAAGCTTTGGAAGCGCTTCTTCCATTTCGGCCATTCCTTCGGAGACGAGAAATAAAATGGCGCCGGCGGCTGTATCACGAACGATGTGCCCGCTGCGGTGGTTGCCATTTCTTCCAGCGCAGGGCCACTTCCTTGGGTGCCTCGGAAGTCAGTGCTGGTGGCGGCTCTTGATTTCCGGCCGTCATCCCACTTCTGACACCATGTTAGGTTGGCGGAGAAAAAACGAGATGCTACCACAGGCCAGAGTGCCACGTATAAGAATCTTTAATCTCGTCGTCTACCACCAGCAGGTAGGCGTGCTGCTCAGTAGGCGTACTGCTCAGCTAATCGGCTAGACTAACCCTCTCCGAATTTCATTATTATTTTAATAAAACGATTTTCTCTCTCTCTCTCTCTCCTTTCATACCACGTATGAGAATCTTTAATCTCGCCGTCTACCACCAGCAGGTAGGCGTGCTGCTCAGTAGGTGGCAGGTCCTTTCATACCACATCTCCCTTTCTTAAGGAGAGTACCGCCTAGGTTGTTTTAGGCAGCGGCCACTCTTGCTGTGGGCGTGCGTGGTATCTTGGCATTCGTGTGAGGAGTCAGGTGCCGGGATTTGATCGGTGTGATGGGATAACAGAAAACAAGAAACAAAACGCTCAAATATGTAAAAATATGTTACGCAACTCTTTAGAAAATATTGTTTCTAGATTTCTATTTTTTTTTTTTCAAAGTTGTTTAGAAGCTTTGGAATTAAATATCAAGGCATTTCCTGCCCATAATTTGTTGCCAGGCAAGTTCGACGCACGGATTGCATGACTAAAGTACGACGTATACTAAAAGTGCATTCGATGTATACTTTCAGTACAGTTAAAATATACATAAGTGTGTGCTTTTCATAAAGTAAAAAAAGTGTAATATTTAGACTGTTGATTTGTTCAAGCGACGAGTAAATTGAGGAAGTCAACTAAATTATAATCTTGTTGACGAAACTCTTTCAACTGACAGGAACAGGACGCAGAGAGCAAACCCAGGTTTTGTACACAGACAAATACAACAGCTGCTATGTACTGTACTACACCTGCACTGGTGGTGAGTCTTCCTTTGTTTTGGAACGTTCACTACATCAAAGCTAATGTTTTCTTCTGACATATAGTCAATGTAAAAGACGTTTGTGTTGAGTCCACCCAGACCATTGAAGTTTTTTTTTTTTTCTTCACACGCTAGAGAGTAACTCAGCCTGTTTGTGTTGGTACAGCAGCAACAAGAGAAAATTAGCACAAGTGACCGAGAACCGGAGCGGCAAAATTGGGAGACGCGGCGCTATTGTTCCCGAGCGCGCAGATAGCGCGAGTGCCACGCACGTTCCATGTTTCAAAGCGGGGGTGGCCGGCAAAGAGTAGTCCATCCTAAGGCATCCATTTCGAAAGCTATCTTTCCCCTCGCTTTTCGGGCGAGTGATGCGCCAGTGTAGTAGCGTACGTGAGCCCGTTTATTATGTTTCATATTTTTTTACGAGGGCGTTCTGAGCGCTTAGGAGCCGACGAACGAATCAAACGGCAACGAAAGTGCAACGTCATTGCCCTCATCACCTTTTCATCTGGGTGTGTTTTTGCCTTCTAATCAAACTAAACGCATAAAGTGTGCCGTGAAGTTACGGTTTTATTCCGTCATTGTGCAGAGATTGGACAGCTGCCAACAGAAGGTAGTCTTGCGAAGAGGGTCTAGTGTCTGTTTAGGGGAAAACAGGGGAAAACAGAGTTAAAGGAAACGCTACTGCTCTCAACACTCGCGCAAAAAATAGGAAAAAAAAAACGGGGCTTACCTGCGTAAACACGTCGGCGCATCGCTCCGCGCGGAAAAATGAGGGACAAGATTGCATTCAAAATGCGGGCTTTATGGTACGTTTGCACTTGCGGATCCGCCAGCGAATCCGCCCAGCTTTTGCCGCTGGGGCGAAACGCTGGGCGGAAAACGCGGCGGCGAGCCGTTTAGGTCCGGGATATATTTCTGCCGCCGAACGAGGCGTTTCGCTGACCGGATATGCCATTCTTGCGCGGCGCGACGCTGCCTACGTCACGAGTACGCGTTCTTCCGGGAGCAGCAACGCCGGGAGAGAGAGAGCCGAGGCGGGAACTCTCGCGCCTTCTCGTCATATTTGACGAGACGTTACGGGAACCGCTGCCGCAGCCGGCGCTGCCGCCACTGCTCGAAGGAAACAGAGGTAAACGCAACCCGCTCGTCGCCGCCGCCGCCGGGAGCGGATCCGCTCCCGCGGCAGCGGATTTCTTCTCAGGTGTAAACGTGCCATTAGAAGGGCTGCTTTCTGACAGCCAGCCCCGCTTTGCAACATATAGAGCATGCCCGGCACTCTCGTTGTCAGCGCGTTCAACAACGGTATCGCCGCGTGTAGCGATTTGGCCGCTCCGGTCATCGGTGATTTGTGTTAGTCTTTGTCGGTCGTAGTTGTACCATCAGCGAAGCGTGCTACCTCTCATTGCAAATGTTGTTTTTAACGCGATAGCGTTAAAAAGCTCGCGTCGCGCCGGCCTCGGTGGCGTGCCAGAAAATCCGGAGAGACACGAAAATCCTGATTGGTCGATAAGGTCATGACGTAACAGCAACATCACCTCGCACGGGAATTTCAAAGAACACACGACACTCACGTTAAACATGAGGTCACGCTTGGAACGAAAGTAATTAAAAAACATATAGGGAATTAAAGGTCGCCGCATGACTAAAATGATTTTACTTTATACAGTAATTTATTTGTAAATCATTCGCATTAAAGAAATTTGACGAACTGCAAGCGGGATTCGAACCAACGACCCTGCTGTTGGCGGGCCAGAGACGCAACTGACTGGGCCATGTCTATTTATTTTTTCTTTGTTGTTGACTATAGGCCATGTCCGGCGCACTTGTATATCTTTTTGCATGTTTGATTTGGTTTATTGTGAAAGGGTCGTTATTGTTCCCGATAAGCGACAATACTTCACTATAATTGTGAATTTTTTTCATTTCATTGCCCGGTTTCCTCGGCATTCGCGACACTAGACGTTCTTAAAATTGAAATCCATCAATTGTTCTATGGGCGAAGCAGCGTCGACAAGGTTTGACTTTATGACACTGTCAAATAATATATTTACCTCCTTCTTTTCTAGATTATGAACTCTGGGTACATGAAAATGAGACCGACTTCATTCCCAGATGCTGCGAGTTTTCTTTCGTATTCGTCACCTACGAACTGGAGACGTACTATAACTTCAACAAAACAATCTGTAAGACATGAAGGACACCGGGGGTTAACAAACATCTTTGTTATGGGCTTCATTTTACGATCGCTTGATCACAGGAAATAAATAATATGCATGCCGCATTCTCTTCTATATTACTATAGAGCGCAACTCTTAGGCAACCGTTTCCGGTTTGAGCGGCGTCGCCGTCACCGTCGGCGTCGGCGTAACCGCGCGATACATGATGGGTAAATTTCCCCCCTAAATTTAGCTGGAAATTTTCCTGCTAAATCTAGGGGAAAATTTGCACCGCTAGATTTGGCGGAAATTTTCCCCGCTAAATTTAGCGGAAAAATTTCCCCGCTAAATCTAGTAAAATCTTTTCCCCGCTAAATCTAGCCGAAAAATTTCCCCGCTAAATTTAGCTGGAATTTTTTTAGCTGAATTTAGCGAATTTTTTTTTTTTTTAATGGGGGCGAGCAGGGGAAGAGGAGGCGCATAGTCCCCACTCCGTACCTTCCCCTCCTCCTCCTCCTCAAGCGCTGCGCTCTAATTCGGCGTTACAGGGAGTTGTAAAAGGCTTTCATTTTTATTCGTACGCAATGATTATAAAATGTTTTGTAACTGTATTCCAATCATGTTTTCTATCGGAGAGCACTTCGAGAGCGCATGAAAGCAGAGCGTGAGACACGAGAGTGCTTTCCATTATAGAGTGCGCGTCACGAGAGCGCTAACAGGACTCATGGCAGGCCTGTAGAATCGCGAACTGGAGACAACATCCGCATACATGACGAAATTGTACGATGCGTTGAAGGGAGGCTGAATCCGACCAAGCCTAAGAACTTGATCTCACAGTTGCGTTGGAGTGTGAATGCAACAACTTGCCTCTCGTTAACATTGCTTGCGCCAAGCGGTTGCTACGACGACCCTCACGACGAGCCAATGGGGAGGCGCTTTGAGGCACGACGTCACGCAGCACAATGCAGTCGACGCGCTGCGCAGTTCTCTACGGGACAATTTTGTATGGTATCATTTTGGCCGGAATCTTTTTTGTATCCCTTTGGCCGTACAGTGGAAGAGTTAATAGACTGTTTTTTTTTCTGTTTTTTTATACCCAAATAGGGCGATTCGTTCGTGGTCGGCGTTGAAATCTATTGATGGTCACAGCCAATGGAGTTACTTTTGGGCCATTTTCAATTCTCGCTTCGAGATGGCAGAAAATGATGCCCCCTAAATCAATGTTGGGTGGTAAAAATATACGACAAGATTGTTTTATAAAATACAAGATGTCACCATTTCCAAAGTTTCTAGAACATAGTTTCTGGGAGAAAAAAGAACGCGCAAAAAAACTGTTCCGTCAATTAAGCTGAGCCGGGAGAACACGACCTCTTGAATGCTAGTTCATTGATAGTAACCGCTTATGTACAGCTTAAGTAGAGTGGTCTCGGTATCTGCTTAGTCACATATACCATCCTTGAAACCTTCCGCAGCGCTCCTATACGCTCTCGTGACGCTCTCTTTCTACTTATACAGCCGTTCGCTACTGGCGAAGATATGTTTCGGTGGATCCCCCTTATGTTTCCTACTTGTGACATCACGACCAGAGTTATCGATTACCAGCGACGATTTTGATGGTGCAATTAAAAAACACGGTTGAAGCTTGAAATCTCCGCGTCTTTGAATCAACACCGTCGAAGGTGATCGTCTGACATCTCTCTTATGTACATCAGGGGAAATAGAATTCTTCCTTCTCAAGACGTCATAGCAAGCGTTTGGCCAATCGAGGAAGGCCGACCACCGCGACGCTTTTCGTCGCATTCTCCGCTAATTGCACTATGCGCTGCCAAGCGTCCCCAGGATTTTCGGCGATTGGTTAAAAAGCATACTCGAGAGAGGTCGAGTCCTGCTTCACTTATGATTGACGGAGCATATTCTTCTGATCCTGATAAGATATGCAATCAATTCACAAAGTTTTTCCTGTCCACCTATTCATCAGTCAGTGTCGAAAACACAGAGATTTTACTAACTACTCATAACCATTTTCCTCCTCCGACAATTGACCTTGCCGACGTTGTTTGGGCAATTCATCAGCTACCATCTAAAAAATCTTGTGGCCTTGATGGCATGCCGAATTTTATAGTTAAGGGGTGTGTCGACATACTGGCTCCCATTCTACACCACATATTTTCTATGTCGCTGAAGCAGTCTATCTTTCCGACCGCCTGGAAAAAGGGCTTGGTAATCCCTCTTCCTAAATCAGGCACCTCAACGAATATCACAAACCATAGACCGATATCATTGCTTTCCGCATTTTCGAAGGTATTCGAAAAAAATCATTCATAAGCATCTAACACACTGTTTTAAGCGCTTAATACCCGAAGTTCAACATGGTTTTTTGAGCGGCAGGTCTGTTGAAACAAATCTTGCGTGTTTTTTAAATGATGTTGCCCCCAGAGCCTGTTCTCGAGAGCAAGTTGTCGCAGTGTTTTTTTATTGTAGAAGGCATTTGATCGTGTAAACCACAAGTTACTGTTACACAAACTTTCTGTTTCTGGTCTCAGCGACGAGTACTGTTCTTGGTTTGAAAGTTATCTTTCTGCAAGAGAAAACTGTGTCGGCTACGCAAATGTTAGGTCTTGTTTTTTTCCTGTGCCATCTGGTGTACCCCAGGGTTCCAATCTGGGACCTCTTCTTTTTAATATATTTGTTAAAGATGTCCAAGACATTATTCGCCATTCGAGCCTCTTGCAGTTCGCTGATGACCTCAAGATCTATAAAAATATTTCGTCATTAAATGATTGTGCTCTACTGCAGGAAGATATCAAAGCCATCTGTCTATGGTGTAAAGATAACGGGCTTGATCTTAACATTGGAAAAACAAATGTAATATCTTTCACGCGTAAGACTAATCCAACTCACTTTCTGTACTACTTAGAAAATTCGTCGATTACTCGGTCACGATTGTGAAAGATCTGGGAGTGATGCTAGACTCCAAACTCAACTTTAACTCGCACGCGACATACGTTGTGAGCTCTTGTTTTCGTCTTCTCGGTGCAATTTCAAGATTTAGTAAGTGTTTTTCAAGTGTTTACCTTTTCTACGTACTTTACCGAATCATAGTTCTTCCAAAACATGACTTCTGCACTGTGATTTGGAACAGCCTTAGTGCTACAGCTTCCAATAATGTGGAACGCGTACAGAAAAGATTTGCCAGAACTTATCATTTTAGATCCCCATCACACGATCTATATGATTACAACGAAGTGCTTAGAAAATTGCAAATCACTAACCTTGCATCAAGTCGATGCTCGCGCGACCTTTTATTCTTGTTTAAATGCATACATTCTAATCACGATATTAGCTCTCTGGTCACATCTATTAACTATCATATACCCGGTAGAAATGTTCGTTCTAGTCGCACTTTCCATGTCAATTACAGCGATTTCACGTCACCCACGGGCCGACTGCAAAACTACTTCAATCATCTGGAATCAGATGGCATTGACATTTTTAACCCTAACCAACCTCATTTTAGGAAGTGCTTGCTTCATGTATTGAAATAATGTTCATGCTTTGCAACTATTCAATTCCTGTGTTTTTCCTTTACAGGTGTGTGAGGCGACCAGACTTTTCTTGTTTGTGTTTATATACTATCTGAAATGTTACTAACAAGTGCACCAATGTATAGGCTTTGGCTGTTTTTGGGCACTCAAAATAAACAAACAAACTGAGAGAGGAGGAAACGAGAGCGCCTGGCGACGGAGTGACGTCAGGATTCCCGAGCTCTGACTGGATTGATTAGTGAGTATACCGCCAAGCTAGCTGCTTTGGGGCCTCTGCTCACTATCCGATCGCGTTCCAATGCAAAGGCGGAACGCTGGACGCCGGCGTTTGGCAATCGAACGCGTTCGAACTGTGAGTAAAGATAAAGGCAGCTAGTCTGGCGTCTACCCACTAATCAATCCAACAGGGGGCTCTAATCTAGACACTTGGCTAAAATGTCGGCGGAGGATTCGACCACAGGGATTGGCGGGCGTCAGGGTCAAACGCGTTACCGGCCAATCAGGGCAGCCGAATTCCTCGCCGATGTTTTCGCCAAGTGACCAGATTAGAGCTTCTGCTCGTCATTCCGACGACCCCCGTGCGCTCTCATCTCCTCCTCTATCTCTTGATTTCTCGGCCCATAGAGAATTTTTGAGGGGATCCAAGATTTTAAAGAAAGCGGAACTTGCGTTAGGGTTTTATTAGCCCTGGAGTCATTTCGGTGGCCATGGGGGCCGGTAGAAAAGAGGCGAGCTAATTCGTGAGCTCAATAACTAAAAAATCTGAAAACGTAATTTTTTTCGGCTCAATATCGGAGAATCGACGCTCGACCCCATTACAGTCTAACCGTGGCGTGAAATTTCAATAAAACCATTCGTGGCCAGCGCTACGGGGTTAAAAAGGCTCACTCTTGTTTACGCCTTTTCCACAAGGACGCAGCCATCTTGAATGTCATCACTTCTGGTGTGCGGTAAAACATCGTACGGATTTCCCCACGCAAAAGGGTGTTTACGAAAAATGCGTGATTGTCACACATTCTTGTTTTGCTCACCTATATTTTATCGCGTGTTCCAGGTTGAAACGTTATATCATTTATTCGTCCTGCAAAGCAGATACGGAACCCACGCGACTGAAAACGACAGGAAAACGAAAACGTCTATACGGCGTTAGATTGAATCTAAACCAGCAAAGATCACTCGTGACGTCATCAATATGTTGTGCGTCGGCTCTGCGCCGCAGATGATAGCAGCAGTGCCACGCAGACGTGAAGCGAGGGGATAGACATCACAGACGCTCTTTGCCCGCTTAGTTTTGGCGGAGCCCTTCAGCGTGATACCAGGGTCATAAAATTTCAGTCAAAGATTATTTTTGAAAATAATTATTTGCATAGTGTAAGGTTGTCTGCAACGAACGTTCAGCACTCAGGCCGCACTTTGTTGCATTTAAAACCGCTAAACATAGCGGCCAGTCGCACACGCAGTGGCAGACGTACTCTCTCTGTCACGATGCTCCAATTATCGTAACACTGCAATTGTGGACAGTTTGACTTTATCTTCACAGACTAATATACCGAGTGTACCACCAGTGGAGGATCTCTCGTTCCCCTAGAGTCCAGGGCTCTCTCTCGAGGTTAGCGTGATTTTCTCCCGCACAAACCATATCATTAGTACTATACTCTGTTTCACCATACGTCCAGACGCAGCGGACAAAATAAGCCATCCTAGCCAATCCCGCTCTGTGATCATAGCACGTGATAATGTCTCCGCGCGTCACTGCGTCCCGTCTTCAAGGTCACGTGACGCTCACGCGGCCTTTGATTGGCTCCAATGACTCGTAGAATCCACTGCGCTTGGACGTAGGATGAGATGGTGTATTCCGAAAATAATTCTCGTGTCAATGAGAAATAGTTTTCTTAGCCGTACTCCAAAAACTATTGCTCCCAGACTTCTGAATGTTCGCACGACTTCACAGATTATTGGTACATTTTCACTGCTTTTTGAGAAAGCACAATTGGAACATCAGTCGGAAGTTACCGGAGTCTGTCTTTGGTAGGCAATACATCCCACCCGTACAGCCACTGGAAGGTAGGTATCCTAATGGGCATGTCCGGTGTAACCAGGTTTCCCCATGGCACTTGCGAACTTGGCGCTCGATGCCGAAGAGACACTACGGAAGCGCAAAGGGCTTTGCACGATTACAAAACAGGAACCTGCTGGTCGTCTACGTCCGGCACCCCTTGGCTGATACGACGATACGATGATACATTCCGACTACATTGGAGTAGTTTGGAAAACGAGTAGATTGGCTAAAGTCAAAATTTTCTGTGCCGCAGCCTCTGCTGCGGGAGAGAAATATGCAAGTCCTCAAGTGACAACTGTAAGAGGCAAATGATCTATCCAGTAAAATACCTCACTCTAAAAAAGCTACGACATGAATTACACATTTGATACAGACAAGGAATTTGAACACAGAAGACCCACACACGCACATCATCCTCGCTGCTCCCAATGGCTACCAATGCGTCTTTTATACTGATAATTTGAACGAAGTCGGTTGGTCAGTGACCACCTCGCCCGTAAACGATGTTACAAATATGGTGCTGCTTTCACACCAATATTGCTCTCAAATATTGTTTCAAAACATTCCAAGGGATGTCTCTCTTACTAAGAAGGAACTGTGCACACAGTAATTATTCGCGCAGGTCTATAAAACAGCGTCGCCATAGATTCCCAGCAGCCATGTTCATTCTTCTCCGTATAGACTGCCCCACTTTGCGCTTGCGCGTCTCCGTGGTAATCGTATCGTCTCTACACAGCATTTTCGCTTCCTTGTCGGTGGTTTATACTTTTACGGTCACTGTCACAACCAAAAATATCTCCATGATAATCATACAGCCACCGATAACGCACAAACCGTGAAGAATACATTTTCAGGGTCAAGTAGGAGCGAAGCAGAGAAGCTTCTTAGATGGCGAAAGCGATGGTACTAAGCCGGAAAAACGATAGCCGTCGAATGGTAGATCCGGTGACGAGCAGGCGCTCCTCACCGGCTTGTTAGGCCTATCTTTGGAGCAGTCTACGTCCACGCACACACTCGCCCAGTTGAGTGCACGAACGTTAACTATGCACACCAACCCGGGAACTCTAGAACAGCAGAGGACACACGTCAAAAATGGCAGGTGAAGATCGCAGAAATAAGCTTCTTGCAAACTCCGATTGGCCCAAGCGGGACGTCTTTTTTGCACGTCGTCAGGAAGTAGACACGTTGACAACAGGGATCACGTGAACACCTTGGTCACGTGATCCCTGTTGATCCGAGAGTCTGTGGTTTTTTTATCTACAGACTCTCGGCCTTCTAATGACTAGTACCACATGCCGAGCCAGAATGCTTTCACGCAGCATAGACAAGAAGATAATTCTCGACGATGTCCGGCAGTTTTTTAGGGCTATTGCACCATCACAAGGACACGCCATGCGAGTGACAAAGATCCTCGGGTCAGAAATATGGCGCCAACAACATTTTCTCACTGACTTCCTGCGTGATAAATGCTCTAACCACAGCGTCTTCATGAACCAACGGGCGATTACAAGATATTTCACAGAGAGCGTATGGAAATTCTGGTTTCTTTCTGCACTGAAACAACATCTGACACCTAGAAATAAGGAACACGTCAAAAGGTGGCCGCTTCAGACCCTTGGTGACGCCCAGCTCTAAGAAAGGACCACATCCAGTTTCGAGCAGGTACCTAGGTATGTTGTACCACCACAGCTGAGGGCCTTTGACATGGCTGCCCTTGTTCGGACCATTGCGTACCGTGCTCACGAAGAGCAGAAATCACTGATTATCTCCGAAGGCATCGAATGCTACGTAAGCCAAAGTTGCCTGGCACGTCCAGGCATGGGCTTCGGCTGCACTGTACATTAGCTACGAAGAGAGGGTCTCCGGCTTTGTGTTTGAGATAAAAAAGAAGGTTTCGTAGTACTCGGTGCCGGGACCTATGTAGAGAAGTAGAGAAAGATACTGGTGCCGTAGCAAAACATTTCGCCCAATTTGATCTGAAAGGGAGCCTAACAACTAAGCTCGCCGTTAAGCGGATGCTAGATGCTCATACCCAAACCAGCCTGGGCACAAAAGTGAAAGCCAGAATGGGGGGACACCTTGACGTTTTCTCCTCGGCAAAAACGTAAGATAGATGTACCGTTTCGTGTCATCGTCTGTGTCAACTTTTCATGTGTCAACCTTCGTCATGTGTCAAATTTTCTTGCAAGGCACCTGTCCCAGGTGTACTGTTATGATCCATACAGGATTTGCAGCTCAGAACTCATTACGTATCTTGAAGAACATGGATCACAGGTCGTATATCTGGAGTTTCCATCGACATCCAATATATGTATTATTCAATACCACACCCCAGTCTCATGGCAATTCTGCGACAAACCACTGAGGAAGCTGGCATAACGCCATTTCAAAACGCAGCAGGGATGAAGGTAGACGCCTTCTTACAACTACCCGGTGCCTATTTGATGGCGACGGTGATTTCGTATGCGGGTCAAGACTCCGTCCAAAAGGTGTGATCTGCATTTGTTCTCGGGTGGCGCCACATCTATGGCACCTATCCTTGGCGGTGTGTGGTAGGTACATCCAATCTGCCCGGAATGATGCCGGGATCCAAGCCATCTTTAGGTACGTGGACGACTTTCTGATTTTGTGCAGCATAGACATTGCGATTCAAAATACTAGTGCAGAAGCACGGTCATGGGAACCTTCAAAGAATGTTTCAAAGTACCCAAGTACCACGTGAACCTACACGGCCGCGCTTTTGACACCATTGAAGAGCTAGGCCAGCATGCCCGCAGCACAGAGGAAATCTTCCTTCCTCCCTCAGAAGATATCTTTCACCGCCTTTGGCCGCAAACTCTCTCGAACCCGCATGTGCTTGGCAGAGCCCCGAGGCCATCTCGGCGCCAGGACCTCCACGGGACGGACACAGAATGCCCAGTCAAAGCAGCCGGAGGCGCTCCAGTTTTGGTTTAATGCGGGGCCACTGGAAGGATGTCCTAAGAGCGCCCTGGTGCAGGCGACTCAAACAGGTATTCGGACCAATACCACATCTGTGGACAGAGCGGCCACTTCCAAAGAGAGTTCCCAACTTCAAACCCGAGACAGAACGAAATAAATGCGGAAGAGCTGGAAGTGAGCGGAGGGTTTGTGAAAATCCGGTAAACCCTCGCGCCTAAGGGCTTTGAAAATCCGGGTGGTTACGTGGCAACCCAATCGGGAAACTATTACGGCTGGCACCGATGTACCCCCTTGAGGAGCCGCCGATGTCCACTATCACAGCCGGGATCACGATGTCAAGTGTCGGGAGGGAGTGGTTCACGGCATACCGTTGACGTGTGGTTTTACTTGCGTTGGTCATACAGGAAGATGTGTAAACGACCGGTTATTAGAGTACAAAAGGGAAGTGGGTTTGAGGGCTCAAAATTCAGAAAAAGCCAGACATGTTGAGGAGTGCAATGGGTGCAACACTGAGTGGGCCAGAACAGAATTTGTTTACAGTGAAAAAGATGGGACTAAAAGAATATTGAGGGAGACCATTAGAATAGGGAGTATTGGGGACTGCATAAGCAATCCTTCTGTTTCTTTAGACAACCTAACCTGGTCTTTATCGTAAATGGAGTTTCTGTCTCCATGACGAGTGAGATCCAGCCGAAAGGATATGTAAAATCGATCTGTTTTGTTTGGGGGTTGTTTTTGATTCTTCTTGAAAGCATCGGAAAGAGACAAAACAAAGGGGAGGGGGGGGGGTAGGTTTTTGGGGAGGTCGGGTGATAGCGGTACAAACTTTAAGGCTTTGATATTACTTTGCGGCGCATTTTGGCTTTCCGGGTGGGCTTCCACATGTGTCCTCGAGGTTTGTGTTTACGTCGGCAGCTGTAAAGGGGGGGAGGGGGATATCCGAGGGGTGTGCTTGTGTACGATTCGACGGTGGGAGGGCAAGGAAGCGTTGCGCGGAAATGGGGGATTTGCGGTTGAGGCAGTGGCAAGTGATGAGTCAACTGCGCGGACTTTCTCATGAACGCTGCGGCGCCGAGCGTTGTGCATGTATGTGTGTGCAAGGAGGACTGCTGACGTGGACCGGATAGGAGGAAGCGACTTGACCTTCGGTACTGTGGATGTCGGGTGGGGCACGAAGGGCTGGCCTTTTTAAACGAGTGTCTTACAAATAGACTTTCAGCAGTGTTTGAGACGTTGAGTTGTGTTCGTTCCCTTTTGTGTTCCTGAGTCTCAGGTTTTTATTACAATGAATCATCACCAGCTCGCCTGTTTTTTTTTTTTTGTTTTTTTTTTTAAGTATTATTGCAGTTATCACGCACGCAGCGTCACTTGTACCATCAGTATGTCGGATTCAGCCTAACATCGAAATGATCGAGCCACGCATGCCGATCACTTTGCTCGGTTTTCCTTTTGCCGCGCTTCTGAATACCGGGGCTGCTGTCTCGCTTGTAAGAGACGCTGCCTATGAACTATGCAGAAATAAAAAAATAACCTTTCGTTCTGCAGACACATGTCTGCAGCTGTAGCCTCCTGTCCAACAAAATTGGCGGGCGAAGCGATAAGGCTTTTTTTTTTCCTTTAATGAGAAGAAACCCGTGATCTTGGGTCGAGATTTTTTTGCAGGCGTAGGCATGACGCTCGACTCCCCTAGTGGCGGCTATCGTCTGGGAAACCAGGCGGACCGGACTCCGTTCACCATACGAGAGAACTGCATCACTGGCCCAACCCTCCCAGCCCACTTCACAACGCCTGCAGCTGCCCTACTATTCGAAATCTCCGATACCCTGCATAAGTGTTCGGGCAATGACCTCCAAAAGGAACAGCTGGAGGACGTCTTGCGGCCGTTCTCTCCGATGTTCATGAAGCGACCAGGAAAGGCAGACATCCTGCTGCATCTGATTGAAACCGGTAACGCACCGCCTTGGAAGAGCAATTCACACCCGATCAGCGTGCACAAAAGAGAACCTCTAGACGCAGCCCTTCAGCAGATGCTTGACACCGGTGCAGTACGTGAGTCAAAGAGACCTTGTGCGTTTCCTGTCGTTCTCGCTTCGAAAACTGCCAGACCCTGCGTAGATTACAGAAGACATAACGAAGTGACAGTGTCAGTACTTAACGAAGTGTCACCTTTTTCCCAGCATTTCCTCTATAATGTACGCGCTCGATAACGCGACGGTGCTCACCACGTTAGACTGCAGACATGGATTCCTCCAGATCGAGATGCATCCATTAGACCTGCACAAAGCCGCTTTCGTTTGCCACAGAGGACTGTACGAGTTCACCCACCTACCATTTGGCTTGTCCAACTGGAAAGCGAG